ATTGTAGATAACGCGGCTGGTATAGGAAACGGCGCCCCCTTCATTTCCGGAATGCAATGATGCTACTTCCAAATATGGTATGTGTCTGACATCGCAGCGAGGTGTACTTGATGAGTGGATGGCTAAATCATGTTGTAATTACTTTGATGATGTAATGAGCATCGTTACTCTTTTAAATAAATAACATTTACCAGACGGCTGAAATCATTCCGCTACTTATTTTTATTTGGTCGCTATTGATTTTTTTCACAACACTGATCTGGGTAGAAAACTTGAAATCTGGCTGAAGTGCAACCTCCGCCCACCCGGTGGTTAGCTCCTGGTCAGCTGAGCTACAAACGGGGCACAGCTTCTGTCACAAACTATTTCTTTAATTTCAGATTTCTGCCTTTATATAGCTTCCAGCACGGGGTCTCAATCTATCAAACTGATTTACTTGTTTTTTTCTTTAAATGTTTTTTCCTCACATCTGTTCTAAACATCAAGAGGAGCTAATAAAAACGTAGTTTTTTTCACATTTTTGCCTCTAGTTTTGGAATTATGCATTATACATTTCTATTTTACACTTCTTTTCAGGCATTATGGACTCCTCCAATAAAAAAACATTGTTTTAGAGTTAAATCCGTAGCTTTCTTTCTGTTGTTCAATTTATTTAGGTTAATAAAGTTTTTAATGACGTCACGCTCATGGGTCGCACGCTATTGGCTGAGCCCGAATTTCAAACAGCAAAGCTGCGGAGGGGAAACGCTACGTCAAAATGTCATTTTAGTGTTAAAAGTCTCTGTAAACTCGATCAAGTTACGTTTTTAAAAGCAACTCTTGTTTTCGGTCGTCCTGTAATGAAAGCGAGATGAACATTGCCACGTATATACAGTAAGTCTGAATAGAAAACAGCGGGTTTTAGCATGTAGCTGCTAGCTCTGTTGTTGGTTAAGACCAGTATTTTACAAACAACTGTTGACCAATGCGCTTTAATTTTGTCAACATTTGTCCCCTCTAGGTGTTTTGAAAGCAGCTTGTCGTCCTACACAGGAGATGATCTTCTGGATCCGTGGGACAAGTGAGTCCTTTATTTAGTTTTTAATTTGTTTTAATAACGCACTTGACTGAGATGAACCCGAGGCAGCCCAGATGTACATACACAGACTAAAATACGGACACAATGTCATGTTTCATTTAAGTGTAAATATCACGAGATGACTGCTGTTAGTTTCGCCTGACCCACAAAGCTCAGACTTGGTTCTGCAGCAGATGTTTCTTTCTTTCCCCACCTGGGATGAAACTGTGAGTCTGTAAATAATGTCTGTTAGTTAGAAAGGCCAACCAGAACCGCACTCTGATGTCCTGACCCACAACTGAGAGGTTTCTGTAGCTCGATGAGCTGTTTCCATCAAAAGCATTCAGGAGAGACGTGACCAAGAACTGTAGCAGCACACAGACATGACCACATCCAAACTAAAGTACAATTAAATATGTCATGATAAAATAATGTCATCGGAGCAGAAAATGACCTGAGGTTGTTTTAAAGGGATCCGTGATTAGTTGTAACATTAGACTTTATTTAATAAACATTTATTTTAACTGTAAAATAAAGACTGTAAAAATACTGTAGGCTGTTTAGATTTTATAGTTTTTAAACTAAAAGTTTAAAAATATAT